GCCTAAGGTGTAGGCCTTTGTACTGTTTATGGACAAGCCACATGCGCGTTATTCCCTAGCTCTTCTATTTCAAAGATCGGCCACTACAAGTGCCCAATCTTCACACCGCACCAATCTTCACACCGCCACCAATCTTCACGCCGCAGCAATCTTCACCTATACGGAGTAGCCAGTCAAAGAACGAACTGTAGCTTATCTTTCCGTGTTTCGATACAAATCTTTACATATTATTCGGCGGTTGTGCGCAGAACAATGCTTTCCACTGTCACAGAGTACGACTTTAGTACTGAATGCTCCTCGACAGTAACGCACACGTGGATGGCGGTCAGAAGATATTCCGTTTTGTTTCTTTGTTTCAAAGAATCGAGAGAAAAAAAAAACTGCTATTCACTTAACACGTCATGAGGAGTCCAATCTTGAGCAGAATTAATCTACGCGACACCGTGAAGACAGGCAAATCATCGAAACAGCGGAAAAAAACAAAAACAATTTCGCGGGAACAACGGAAAAACGCGAGACGTGACGGTCTCGCAGTTACAAAAGACTGAGTAAATAGTCGGGGGGAAAGAGATCCAATTTCGATGATAATTAGGGGGTACAATAGAATGAGATCGGCGAACGATGAAGAACAGTGACCCCCTCCACCCGGCCAGATTTTCTTTCTCCGCAGTCGCCTTCGTGCATATCAATGAGCCGAGCCAACGAAGTGAGTCATTTCTCCTTTTTTAAACTCGGCTTTACTCGACCCGCTTTAATTTTAATCTCAATTCCCAGTTCGAGAATGTGCACAGGAAGGCCACCCAACCTGGCACTGGAAGACCACCCTCGCTATCGAGCAACGTATTCAAAAGTCGACTAGCCCAAGGAGCGCGATAACTCGATAATGTTTCGCGGTTCATCAACACGAGCTGTGGAAAAAAAAAAACTTTTTAGTAAAGACAGTTTGAACGGTTGCGAAATGAATTCGCTGTAAGCTCTATGTCTATGTCCCGCAGCGCGCTACAAGCTGCGGGACCACTGTTAGTAAGAACACGGCGGGCCAAGCTGCTTATGAAGAAGAACTTTCCGCTACACTCACTGGCACTGATGAAAACGGTAGGGCGCCTCTTTCGAATGCGTAGCGCCAGTTCGTCTGCTTCTTGCGCAGAGGTTTCTGTGACGTCAGAAACACGCCGAGCTCTGATTGGTTCCGATTGGACGGGTAGTGGGTAGACCTCGAGGCAGCTAGCATTGCGGTATACCCACTATCCTCCAGTCGGAACCAATCGGACCTCGGCGTCTTTCTGCCGTCACCGTAACTCCTGGGCAAGAAGCAGACGACTTTCTCTCCAAATTCCTTACACGCGCTCGTCGTTTTCCGCCGTGCTTTGGCTGCACAGTGGAAGCCGAGGCTCGTGAGACGCCGAAGGACGACCAAGGGTAGGTAGCTCGTCCTGGAGTCGGGAAAACTCCTTCCGGCTATTTTCATTATGTCCGGGACTATGGTGCCCCACACCCCAAAGGCACGAACGAATCGCAAAAAAAAAAAAAAAAAAGGAAAAGGAACGTTGGGTTTTGTGTAAGGTCAATTAGCGTTCTCTATCGCCCTTGCTATACTCTACAACACCGAACCGTTTGCTTACGTATTCTTACGTTACGTTAGCATCTACCAGGACATCCGTGCTTCGAACGTCGCGTGCAAAGTTGCTCTTTAAACTGGTTGCCATACTTGGTGCGGAGTACAGATGTTCCGGGGACTCTCGGCGTATGAAGACGTAGGCTCCGTGGTACGTAACGTATAACGTTACGTAAGAATACGGGGCTGTGTGAACAGGCCTTTATTTCGTGAGGCAGCGCCTCCTTATATCTACTACTAGAAGCTCGTGAGGGGCGCTCCCGTTTTCCTCTCTATGGGTAGTGCACGTGCTACCCCCGAGGTTATGCTTTAATTTTCATAGTACACAGAAGCTTGGCATTGCAACTGCTTACACCAGCACAGGAAGTTGAAGTATCCTCACTGCGGGTTGTGAAAACGCTCCACCAGGCGTCGATACCCAAACTTCTCGTCGCGAAGACTTCGCAATGCTGCTTGTTCGCAAAGAGACAGTGTGTGCGTGCGTGCGTGCGTGCGTGCGTGCGTGTGTGTTTGTGTGTGTGGGTGGGTGTGTGTTTGTATTTTTGTGTGTGTGCGCGTGTGTGTGTGTGTGTGTGTGCGCGCGCGTTTGTGTCTTTCTGCGTGTGTCTCTCAATGTGACCGATTTTTGCGGAAACGTAATCAAAGTTGCAAATGAGGAGTATTTCACTTTGTGAGGAGCGGTGTTCGACGTCTTCCGCTCTAAACGGACGGGGCCTTAAAGTTCGTCTAAAAACGCGGGCCCTGCTTTGGTAAATACATCCTTTCTTTAGAAAACAGCCTTGTAAACACACGGCCACAAATCTCGTTACAAGCGAAATCGGAAATGACGCAGCGCAACAGCCGTTCTCCGCAGACTTCTTCCGCCTCTCCTCCAATTCACGTCCGACGTTGCCGAAAGGTGGTGAGCAAATAAGTGCGGCTCCGCTGAAATAGAGTCCCCCATCTCCAAGCAGAGCGCGAGTGACCGCCCTTAACGGCAACGACTTTAATAACCTTATCCGCGAGCGGCAGGCAAGTCTCCGGGTCAACACGGATGAACTCGGTCCAATCCCCTGGCAAACACGAGACGCTAAATCAATACGGAAAGTCTCCCGTACAGCGTCCGCCAACGACGCAAGCTCTACGTCTCGGTGTCTCTATTACAGTCACCGCTAAAGGCAATCCATCGACAAATTGGTAGCGTAACAGTAAACACTGCGCGATAAAGACGCCAGCCGGGAGAATGATATTGTTCTTCCAAGCACATCTTCTGAAGCTTATTGCTGGTGGCAGTATTTTGGAGATCGTTTGTTAATGTTATAATCTTTCATCGGTGATAATGCACTACTGGTCGTAAATCAAATCAAGTACACTCGTCGGTTTTCAACTCGGTTGGAGTTAGATACCTTTGTGAATCGCATATCTGTAAAGTTTTTCGTGACGGCCACCATGTTAAGTTTGGACCTGACTATAGGTTGGGACCAAATACTAGTCGCAAATCAAATCAAATACACTTGTCGGTTTTCAACTTCGTAGACATGCTTTTCGCATGTCTACGAGGTTTCTCGTGACGGCCACCATGTTGAGTTCGGACCTGACAATAGGTTAGGGCAAAATACCAAATCTCTTTATTTGCCCATTGGACGGCACATGCATTCATGTGGTTCGTGCCACTTGCTTTATTTTGCCGGCTATAATTTGTAAATTGCAGTTATACTCGAACTATTTGATATAGTCATTCTTCAACATGTCAACTGTCGCACAAAACGGTGTATTCCTACACGCAGCGAATTTCTACAAATATTAGTTCTATAGAACTAATATTTGTACGAGTGAGAAAGTCACCCCTCTATCATGGTATGAAACTGAAATCCCGTGGGACAACTTTTTCTGTGTCAACGTCATTATATTGGAGTAACTTCGCTCAATCATTGGCTACGAATGGAGGGACTACCTACAACTCTTAAAGGGGCGATGCAACAATTTTTGTACTTTGCGCAAATACCACTTAAAACGGATCCCTGACGTTAATGACCTATGAAACACGAGTTCGTTCTTCACCCCACGCAATAGAAGTCTCAGAAAAAAATTAAAGAAAAACGAGCAGCGTTCACCCCCTCAACTCGCAGCCAAAACAAGCGGCCACGTGATCTGGAGCCGATTATATGCCGCCAATGTTGATCACAGCCACGAGCTGGGGTTGGCAAAGCACAGGGCACGCGCTGAGTTCCCGACATTGTTCTGGCTCGGCTATTGTCGTCGTTGCAGCGATTGGACACGGGCCAATAGCCGAATGATTCTCGAGCTAGTAATTATCACGATCCCAAATCGAGTGCCCACGCAATGCTCGGGTCCAATCTATGAACCGCATTCAAATATCGTCATTGGGGTGTACTGCGATCCCCACGTTAAGTCATCAAATTTTGCAAATGAGGGATTGAATGAAAATGATCGCTTTTGTCCTTAAAATTACACCGCTACAAAGGAGTTTTTTGGCCAGCGGCGTTGGGTGCGAGTATCCTTGAGTCCCACTAGTGCCAGTGAGCTCGTGTAAAGTGAAAAACATTCCAATTGAATATCGTTGCACCGCTCCTTTAATAACTCGGTGGTGCAAAAACCGCCAACGAGAACGATATAGAGATAACTTTTTATTCCTAAAATGGCAGAATTCATTAAAAAAAATTACTCACGACTTTCATTTCTAAAGTTTTATAGCGCAAGGAATGCAGTTGTCGGGGAGCGCTAGTTTAAATTTGTTTACTAGACATTAAACAGTCGCTTCGGGGACCGAGGAAGATGTATTACTCATTAATTTCCCCCATAAAATTAGCGAAAAAAAAATGTACGTCAGGTAATACCAAGACACGTGACCAGACGTCACGCGACACGGTCACGTGACGTGACAACACGGCGTCAACTCGTTGCGCCAAGCGATACCGTATAATGTCAAATGACATCCATTTTCCCGGGGAAATGCACGGACGAACGGGTGGATATATGGTTAGGATGGGGGTTCAATTAAAAAGGATTCTATGCTTTAATAACGAACATTCAGCAGAAACACTTAAGACTGCTTACGTGTAGGATTGCAAAAGCATTCCTACAAGCAGCGCGCCACGTCTTGCCTTTTTCACACGGCGCTCCGGCGGTCAGTGATATCAAGGTATACCCCACCGCAGAGGCGCGGCAAACCCCGCCGGCCTCACGACGGCTTGCGTGACGAAGCACCCGCGTTGCTCTGCTTTTCTTTGCGTTCTATTTCTGAGGCGTGTGCTTAATGACGTATTGGTGTGACCACCTTTCGAGCACAACGCCGGCGTTTTTTTGAAGTAATGGGACAAGTAAGGCTTTCGCCTTAAAAATCACAAACCAACATTGATGTTCTTTTTGTTTTGTTTGTTTGCAGATCTGACCCAGGCGGCGCTGCAACACCTAAGCGCGGCCGACGCCCACTGGGGTGCCTACCCGCACTACAACCCGTACCTGGGCCCCACGGCGGGCCCCGGGGGCTTCGGCGGCCCCTCGGTCACCTACTCGCTGGACGGGAGTTCGGCCGTCGTCTCCGCCGCCGCCAACTCGCTGGCCGCCAACGTGGGCGGCTCGCTGGCCGACGCGGGAGGCATGGCGCTGCACTCGGGTGAGCGGAACAATGGACTTCTTCCAAAACCGACGCGCCCCATCGCGGCGAAATGCCACGCAGTGCACTCTGGGAGCTAGTTGGCCACTCAGTTTCGGTTTCGACTGGGCAGTTTCATCTCATGCTATCACGCCGCGACCGAACGCGCTGCTTGCGTTTTCGATTATCTGACTTTTTACGAACGTACAATCAGTCTTGTACACGTTACTAAAAAAAAGTAATCGATTACAATTACTATTACCCTCGGCTAAAAAGTATTCGATTAGATTACTTGATTACTCGACGGCCAAAGTAATTGGCCATTACTTAAAGAAGTAATCGTTACTTTTCCGATTACTTTATTTTGTGAAGACACATCTTTAGCGCTCATAACAATTAACTACTTCCAACCTATATTTAATATTTGCACATGTATTGAAGAAGAAAAACTGGCTTCCTCTTCGTGGTCGTTGCACCTTCACAATGCGGACACAAGCATAGAATTCGTTTGAAGACGTTTAATGATTTGGGCGTTCGCCAGTGTGTGCGTGTGTGTGTGTGTGGGGGGGGGGGGGGAGGGCGCGGAGGGGGTTCTAGATCTTGTTAAGCTTGAGCAAGGGTTGTCGCTCAAAGTTTGCGTCGCTCATTTTATTACTCACATGTGGATGACCTCGCATGTCATACAAAAGAGCAGCAGTTCCAGGATTTGAAATGGATCATGTGTAGTATCCATTAGCGGAAGAGATCGCCCCGACCACTTCTCAACTCGAAACATTGCTTGTCACAAAGACCACGTAGGGGAAATGGGGTAATATTTCAACTGCCTTTGTTATATTTTGCATCCGCTTTAGGCATTCTTCGGTTCTGGTTCTCCTACGGGCTGCGAGTAGGTACCCTAAGCAGGATTTTTTTATTTCTGTGTGTGTGTGCGTGAGGGGGCTAGTTTGAACGAAGGACTCACAAAGCTACATTCTGCTTCCTCAAACTTCGCCCTGAATGGCCTTTGTCACGCACTGTGGCATCCCTGGGGCTCCCCACTCCCAGTCCCAGCTCGAAAAAAAAAAAAAAGGAAACAGACATTCTACAGAAACTGTACATAGAAAGAGATTGACCTCAGCAAAAATCTTTATTTTTTCCGTTCGCAAAAAAAGAAAGCAAATTTTATTTTTGTCATTTCATAAAAAAAAAGGCGTGTGCCGGTGGGGGGGGGTAAGGGTCCCGTGGACAAATTGTAACGGTTACAAGTAATTTTATTACTCCAAAAAGTAATCAGATTACTCTTGTGATTACTGCCTAATAAAAGTAATCAACTGATTACAAAATTACTCCAAAAAGTAATCGATTACAAGTAATTTGATTACTTGTAATGCGTACGGTACAAGTCTGCGTACAATACACTTATTCTCGAGCGATACAAAACGAAGACCGGGGCACTTTCCTTGGTTCCCGAAACACCGGATATTATGAGTGCGTGTGCAAACGTAATAAGACGTGGCTTAATCACCTCACTTCACGAGTGCATCTCTGAGTTAAATTTCAATGATCCCGTCTAGTACCAGTGAAGTAGAACTGAAATTTGGAATCTGGAGCCTTACACGTATTTTGTTTGCCAAACGTCCGCTTCTTGTTACTTCATTTTGCGAAAAGCAAGCCGCATCCTCACAGGAGAATCAAAGTTGAGCCCAGCGTTGACGCATGAACTTTTAAGGAAACGCAATAAAGTCGACCTCACTACTGCACAAAAGTTACTTTGATGTCTTCCTCGTGTCATCATATATCTCCCACTCAAATTTTATACTGATAGAAGATGAAGTTTTCGCAAACGCTGAGATCGGCTAGCTGCGACGGAGGCCCTAACAAGCGTCCCCTACTCCTCGCTAAGCCTTTTTGGACGAGCATTACTGACGCCCAAGATCTGTGCCTGAACGTTGTGTCCGAAATGATCTCGGCATACTCAGGCAGGAAGAAAGCAAACGCATAATAAATATTATGGCCATTAGCGATTGACCGTCAACCGCGCTTTGAATAGTTTCGTTCGTTTGGTTCATGCACGTCTGGCGCACTTCCGGCGAACGGTGCAACATTCTTGACACAAGTGCTCGACTTTTGCTTTCTTAAAACGGTCTGTATGTGCGAATGTGCCTATATGATTGGCAGGATAACTTTAGGCGCATACGCGATGTTGAATATTAGTGGAATGCAAGCGGGTGGGGTCTTCACTTCGTGCAGTGCTGCGGGTCAGTACAGATAAGAGATAAGAAAGTTAAAATTGAGCTTTTCAATGGCGCCTCCGAGTTTTACCTAGCGTACTCGGGCGTATTAAGAAAAACAGTAATTGCGAAAAGTAATATTTTGTCTATGGACGCACGAAACAAACAAACTTCCTGATCAACAACACCAATGTAAAGGCGCGAGCTCGATGTATGCATGGTTGCTACAGCTTGTTGATTCGTACACAAGCAAGATCCCCGAGCTTCGCAACGTCGAAATTCCAAACACTGGCTAGTCCACATACCTCGATTGGAACGCTAACGGAAAGGCTCAAGTACAGAAATACAACAAGCATGTGTTAAGACAAGCTATACGTCTCGGGCTTGTGCTAAAGCTTCGAGGTCTAGCCATTTAGGTTAGTTTAGAAGCCAGAAATGACGCTCTCGGGACCAGAAAACATGAGATAACGGCCGTTAATAGTCCACGCTCCGTGTGTATAATCTCTTGTCGGCGACGTGTCGATCGAAACCGAAACCATGCCACCCTCCTCCCTGGCCAACTAGTTCCCAGTAGGGATGTCGCGAACCACCCTAGGTTCGATTTCGAAAGGTTTCGATATTTGCGAAGCGAACTGAGGTTCGATTTCGAAAAATTTCGATATTTTCGTACCGACCGAGGTTCGATTTCGAAAAATTCGCAACTTTTGTCCACAGCGGAGTTTCGAATTCGAAAATTTCGAAGCTTTCACGGTTTCTAAAATTTCGAATTCGATTATTTCGAATATTTTTTTACTTCAGGTTCGATAAATTCGAAGATTTCGAAATTCTTTGTAAAAAAAATTCGAAAACTTCGAACGCTTCGAATTTTTATAGACATGAAGTTCGAACAATTCGAAGATTTCGAATTTCTTTTGGCATAAAGTTCGAAAAGTTCGAAAGTTTCGATTCTCTTTTAACGCTAAATTCAAAAAAAAAAAAAAAAACTTTGAAGATTTTGAATTTTTTTTAATCCAAGTTTTCAAAGTTTGAAGTCCGATTTTCAAGTTTTTCTACAGTTTCAGTTTCAAATAACGTTTTCACGACTCACTTGTTTTCACAAAATCAAGTTTAGAAAAGTTAGGGTGTGATATCTAGATTCTGCGAAGTTGGTAAGGCAATTAAATGAGACGACGAGTGTCCCGGACGTGGTGCTAGAATATTTGCCAGTGCAGAATTGTGACCGCCAGCCCCCCGGGGGGGGGTCTTTATCACGCAGTAGTGATTGCACGAACACACTGTTTTACGAGACTCATCCAGTTCGAAACGGTCAGGGGCGAGCAGGAGGTTGAGGCTCAGAGAAACCTTGAAGCGACCTGGCAAACTAGCTCCCTTGCACGCTGGTAGTAATCCGATCCGGTGAAGTTTATAATTGTACTGGAGGTTTATTTTCTGGGACGGAGGAATCGCCTCGCAAAAAGCACAAAAGGCGACACAACTCGAGGTCGAGGAGCGTTCTACTACCATGCAAGTGGCGTCGGAAGAGGAAAAACGGGGGGAAAGAGGGTAGCGGCGGGGGGGGGGGGGGGGGGGGGGGGAGGCTTCAGCTTCTTTCTCCCCCTTGCAGGTATTTCGGACTCTTAAAGAAAACAATACGGGGAAAGAGGGCGTGGTCGAGCTTATTTTAATCTGAAATTATTTATGCATATGTGTAGCTACTGTCGCTCTTCACTGCATAAAAGGTTGCGTAGATGGTCATTGTTAGAAACTCGTTGTCAGAAGGCACTGCTCGTCACATGCTTAGTGGTTCGGAAGTTCAAAGCTGTCTTTTCGACCCAAACACCTGTGCCGATAGTAACAAAAAAAAAAAAAAAGAATAAATGCGGAAATAAAAAGCAGGAGAAAAAAAAAAAAACTATCAAGAATTCGTCGGAAGTGTTCTATTCTTGCATATTCAGAGGGTCAGAACTTCGAAACAAGTTTCTTTTACCAAAATGTGTACAGGCTAAAAGAAACACGTCCCAGGAACGTGAAGCAAAAAAAAAAAGTTTTCTTTTAATGACGTGCTGAACTTGAACACTACTAGAAATCTTCTGCCATGAGTTAATTTATTCCTTAACGTGAAAAAACAATAAATATATTATTTTGTATTCTGCAGATGGCAATGATATGTACTGTCTGTGGTGTTAATTTAAATGCGATACCTCTAACAACTTAGACGAAAATAAATATCAAGTTTAGGTCATAATTGCATGCAGATACATGTTTGGACATTTCTTCGAAACTCACGTTGAATAACAATAATCACATCTTAAGACGGCACTTACGCTATACATAGATCATTCTTAAAAAAAAGTATAACATATCTACCATAAATAGCTCCGGCTGCAGCGTGCTTCAAATCTGTCACAAACGATAATCGTCAAAAACCCGTCGTCCGTCCTCGCCCCTTCGGGGATTTATTTCTTTAAACCTAAGCATGCCAGAACATTGAAATAAATGACATTGTCTTTCGTAACGAACGCAGCACCGCGTGTAAAAGTTCCAGAAAAAAAATTACGAATGTACCCCACTACTTGAAATCAAATGAAACCGTCCGCCGGTCTTTCGAAGTTCGACGAACGTCGAACTTTTACCCTATAAGTTCGAAGTTCGTCGAACTTCTGACTTTTCAGAATTCGAAAGTTCGAAACTTTTCGAATTTTCTTGATAAATAAGTTCGAAAGTTCGAAATTTATCGAACTTTTTGGTCAGTCAAGTTCGAAAGTTCGACAAGCATCGAACCTTGCAGCGCAATAAGTTCGAAAGTTCGAAAAAGATCGAATTTTTTAGCGTAATAAGTTCGACGGTTCGAAAAGCGTCGAACTTCTTACCTTAACAAGTTCGAAAATTCGACCTCCGTCGAATTTTACGATATAGACAATTCGAAAAATCGAAATCTTTCGAACCTTTCGAACCGCTTGATTCGATCATCGAAACTTCGATTCGAAAAAAGTTCGCGACATCCCTAGTTCCCAGAGTGCAACGCGCGCCGTGTTGCATGCAGGGCTTTATGGAAGTAGTCTATTGGGTTTCACCGCGCTTGGGGAGCGACTTGCCCGGCCTTCAGAAAGGAGAAGCCAAGCAGTTCAAAACTGTTCGCTTAACGCAGCCTTTAAATACTGCCGAGACCGGTTATAACGAAATAGCGGCTACAGCGAAGTGATCACGATTTCCCATTCCCTGTTGCACTTCGTTATAACGTAAGTCAGTTATAACCAAATAGCGGATATAGCGAAGTGATTTCCCACTCCCGTTGACTTCCTTAATGCCGGTCTCGACAGTATCGTAAAAAAAAAAAAAATCTTTACTGTTTCATTTTGAAGCAACTCGAAACTGAGGAAATACGAAAGTTTACACCAAGGGAAGAACGTATACATGTTTACTCAGTCTAGGGTAGCTTCAAAATATTCAGTGTACGCCACCTCACTCGCGCCTTTACGTTCTGTGTTTTTTACTGTTTTTTTTTTTCTTTTTTTTTTTTGTAAGGGCATAATGTTGTCAGCTAGCACTACCATATTTGCTCAAGCAATAGCCGCGCTGTTTATGAACAAAGCCTGTGGGTCTGCCCTCCCGCGGGGCACGGGAATAGCGACTCAACGCGATCAGCAAAAAAATATGGCAGCGATTTACGGGACATAGATAGCGTCTTCACGCGAAAATGGTATCTGCTCAGATCGCATATTTACGGAGAATCGTGTTCTCGACTCGGGGATTCCCTGCGATCTTTTTATGCAGAGCGCGATGATTGGCTGTATGTGTCTTTTGCAGGAAAGTAGACGCGAGGACTTTGTTCATAAGAAGTGCGGCTATTATACTCGAGCAAATACGGTATGCATGATGAAATTATGTCAGTCATGTCCCTTTTAAGAAAGCTGTGATTAGCTAGTCGTTAAAAAAATAACCTAAAATATTACGACACCGCACAGTCTCTTTTTCCTATTGCCGCAAGACAGGTGAAAGCCTCAGTGCCTGGCCTACGAGAGAATTAATCGACTTTCAATCGCAAGCGGTCATAATGACTGAAATCTACAATGTAAATTATTGGGTCGTCTTAATCTGGTCGTCTTCGATATGACTTAATTCTGGAAACAATAATTTGCTGTAACAGCTTTCGAATAACTCTTGCACCTAATAGATATGCCTCCTGAACATCGGTAGGCATTCTTCGCACATCTCTTGACCTCCTTTTATACGCGACAGGAAAGAGCGATTTCCTGTTTCGTTTTAGCACCACTTTGTGATTACCCGTAAGCCTTCCATAACATTTCGCATGGTCACTCAGCGTAGTGCTTACGAGGACTCGTCCCGTGTTTCCTGCAGCTCTGCTGGACAACAGCAACTCTCCGAACAGCCTGTCCTCGTGCCCACTGGACGCAGTCTCGGCAGGTCACACGCTGACCGCCCAGTCCACGCTCCTGGGCACCAGCGCCACGGCCGCCATCCCCAACAACGCCACACCTTCGGATTCGCCACTGTCCTCCTCACGGTCCCTCACTCTGGATCTTAACGCCTTGACGGCGACCGGAGCACAGTCCCTGGCTCAACACAGCGATTCCCTGCTGACACCGCCGAGCACCACCAAGACACCACCTTCGTTGCTGCTCACCACCGCCACGAACGGGGGCAACGGAAGTTCCAGCTCTTCGCCGTCCTCCTCAAGCCTCGACTTCCTGCCCAACCCGGGAAACTACGGCAGCTTCCTGCCGGCCCATTCGTACTACGCCAACGGGACGTCGACGGCAGGCACCACGATGACGAACGCGCCGCCGACGTCCACGGGAGTCTACCTGAGTCCTCCGGTGGTACCACCGTCGCTGCTCTACCCGCAGCTGTACGGGTCCATGTCCCACCCGTCCTTTCAGTTTCTCGGAAACGACCTGAGGTCGGTCATGGACGCGGCCGGGTTTGGGACGACGACGACCTCGGCGGCGCATAGACAGGACTCCATGATCCACACGACGGACGTGTCCAACGTGAGGACGCACCAGCACGTCGATGATGTGGTGGTGCAGACGTCATCGCTCGGGAACTCAATCTTGGACTCGCTGAGGGCACCAGCAGACCATCACAACGTCTGGCGTCCTTACTGAGGAAGGTGCTCCAAATGGGAAGGGAGCGATGTTATTTATTTTACGGAAGGACCTGTTCCTGTTTCGGCGTTGTTAATGTGAAACCAGCAAACATCTGGAGGGAGCCATGGCAGACAGTTGGGCACCAGATGAAGAGATTTCTGTCGGACGTGACCGTGATCATGACCTGGAAAGGGCTCGTCGTTCTTGACCGTATTAATACGCACGTTTCTGTGGTGCTATCGATGCTTTTCCAGACGCCGTCTGAACTAGGACCTTTGATCGTCCGTTTATCAGGCGGAGACTGCTGTAATCAAATCAACGATACGTCACGTGTTCGTTATCGTGGCGGGCATGAGAACATAACCGCGAGACGGTCAGCATGCGTTTTCGATGTTTTAGAAAGTCCAACCAAAGATTTTGATCTCAGCACGTGTTTTTGCTTTGCGTGATAACCCTGTTATCGTACGTATACACCCATTATCAACTGTGACCTTAGACGTCCCCGACATTCAGGTCCCCGTAAATGTGCAAGCGTATGTTTACCTCCTCTGAAACGTCGTCTTCTGGTTCGCGTTGGGAACGGCTAAAAACCGCAGCTCAGTGTTTTTCTTTTACTTTTAAAAGTGGCTGTCATAGGACCGCTATGTAATATAAAACTAAATGCATTGTAAATATATACATATATATATGTAGCCCACTTCAGCTTGGCCTATTTGGAGTCTGCCGGCAATACTGAAATGCAATAAAGATTGTTTTAAGCGCACACTTTATCTCCATCCTTTCTGGAAAGTCATAGGAAAAAGGGTCACTTCCAACTTTCTGAAAAAGGAACAATATTGTTTACGGCCTCAACTGATATGACAGTAGAGGTTTCATAAAAAAACTCATGGTATGTAGCAGTAGAATGAACTCGTGTTCTTTCCATCTTAGGTGTCGTTAATTGTCAAAACGCACATCACAAGGTAAATTTAGCCTCTTGGGAAAAGAGAATGGTATTTTTTTTTAAAGAAAGTTTGCCACCTGGCTGTGAGCCCGCTGTCTTTCCGTGAGTATTGTGTTTGCGCTGCGCTTTGTCTAATACTTGCTGCCGTGAAATATCCTGACAGTAAACACGCGAAGTGCATGTGATTTATTTCAGCAGCGCGCTTTATCAAATGTTCTTGTACAAATCCCTTTTGCTCAGAATGTTTGAAGTGCATCTGTACGACGGTTGAACAACCGACACAGCAGAACATGAAGGTCTAAAGACAGACACAATGTCGACGACAGCGAAATTCGGATGTGTGGCTTTGATTTGAAGTTCTTACTTTTACGACCGCCATCTTGTGAGACGATGCCGCCTTCGTCCATTGGGCGCGTGCTCCTCGGATTCCAAAGTGGCGTCCACGCGTGTGCTCCGTATTGGGGGCAAAGTTTGCAATGATTTAGCACGCTGACCCGCAGATGTCTACCCCCCCCCCCCCTTTCCCCGATTCTCAGACGAAAATGATCTACTCAATAAAAAAAAAAGTAACATATATATGGCGTCGCAAAATGGAACTCCGCGAAACCTACGGTTTTATGGTCATGCATAGTTGCTCGGCGATTAGCACTTATGTTTCATAGAATTGTCCGATCGATGGCATTTAGTATCTGCCACTGAGCAGTGGTTTACCAGAACACCATCGGCACAGCAGCCCTGTTCTACGCGGGCCGAGCTTAGCTCTTTCTGTGGGCGGAGCCTAGCTCCTTGTGGGCGGGGCCTCTCCTGCAGATATTTAGTTGCAGATAATAAAGAAAATTCCACTGCTTTCAAGAGGCAATAGCACACAGCATGCGGGGAGGACGGTCCAATACCGTGAGCTTTTCATGTCGGCATGAGAGAGCACGTTTCAGACGCACAAACACCTAATATCGCAGCGGCCGGCGGCTTCATCAAAACTTTCTCTACCACCATTTTAAACCTTCAGACATTCACAGATTTTTTTGTGATCACAAAAAAGGCAGATGCATTTAGCCCTGCTTAGCACATGGCTGTCACAGCATTGATCTTTCAACGCCCGAGGCCGTCCAAAGGAACAACCGTTCGTTCGTGACCGCGTTAAGGAGTTCCAAGAACCTAGCGGACAAAACGCGAAGCAACAGTAGTCTGGAAAAAGTTGCGAATAGGTGGCAGACAATCGGGTGGGGTTTTAAAGCGCACGATTCAAAGACAGATCATATCAAAACTTAAAATGATAAAATATATTAATGGAGACAAGCTCATCGAAAGCATTGCACGAATAGCAGAGGGATATGTTTAACACCGCAGCCTGCTAGCTGTTTGCCCGTACGTTATTCTTGGCAATGTTTTCATTGCTCAGATTTCCAGGGTACGCTCTGGGCCACTTCTTTCCTAGAAGTTGCGCCTAGAGCACATCCTTTCTTATATCGTGGCCTGGAGTACTGAGCAGCGACCAGGCAACGTGCTCGCATTTTTAACGTTTGGCAAGTGACAAGTTTCTCTATGGTGCACAGGTCTGCTGTTTTTACAGAAGTCATTTTCATACGGCGGACATATTTAGAACTAGTAATTGTATGCTTCGAGTAGCTCCCCCTCTTAATATTTTTTATTATTATTTTTATCTCGATTTCCTCATTACTCTCTTCCACCACCGCTGACACTAATGCGCTGTAGTGTGGCAGACAAATTATCTACCACTTAACTACTCGTTAGTTACTTTTTTTAACGCTTTGACTAAATAATCACAAAATACTTCCTGCCTCCCTCCTTTATCCTTTTCCTCCCCCCCTCAACCCCCCCCCCCCCACACACACACACACACGCGCGCGCGCGTTAGTTACAACTAGGTGACGAGACAGGTAACTGTTACATAAGCTTAGAATCTTCTGACTTCGCAACAACTTGAAGGGGAACATTTCCTTTGAGCCTTATTACAGCATCCGATGGTTCACAGGACTTAGATTCTTCATGGCGTTGCTTTAAAGGGACAATGAAACCCCCCAATATTTATTATTGATTTCTTGCCAGGCGATTCATGGTGGCCGTCAGAAGACTAGCCAATCAATATTTTGCTACAGCATCAGATATATGTTTAATAAAGTAAAAAAAACACAACTCTCGAAACCGAAACTGGACTGGGGAGGAAGAATAAATATAGAGGAGAAGAAACTTATCGGAAGTTACGTGCTGTGCTACTTTTTTTTTATTTTTTTCATTCAACGCATTTGCAGTTTCCTGCAAGTCACAAAAATGGGTATCATATTTCTTTTCAATTTTTATTATGTGTGAGTTTCGATGACCCACGACTTTGATTATCCTTCGTGGTTGTGTCTAAACCACAGAGAACGGCACGTGACTGCGGAGAAGAGAGTGAGAGCGACTCAAGCCGGCCAGTTCTCGATCAGCGGCTTTCGGATGGAAAAAAAAACGAGTTTCGAGCCGCAAATTGTGTTCCGGGTGGTTGGGCTCTCACAGTCACATGTCGTCTACAAATAAAAACCTTGGCGAGCATAAATACTCTGTCAGTGTCCCTTTAGGCAGTCTTTTAGCAAAACATCGCCTACCGCTCTCAAGTTTCCAGGACGTTCATTTTTAGGTTTTTATTACCAGCTGAGACAACCTCCGCAATTTCATTCGTTTAATCACCTATGTAAACGAAAGTAACATCACAGCGGCGATACGTGCATCACGGTTTTAATCGCCCTCCAAAAATAAAAATAAAACGCTTTCAGACCTTTTTTTTTTTAGCTTCGCGCACGCAGCGTGGTAGTATGTCGACGAAATCTAAGGTGAGAAATAAATCAAAGAGGCAGACAAGGCAGGAATTTAAATCGGAATTAACCGGAGGACACACAAAAACGATATAAAAGGATAAAAAAATGCAAATCGCGCCAACACAATGCCGCACAAATCACTTATCCGCGCACTCAAGCAGCGTGAGTTCAGGCGCGTCCGATCTTGTCGTTTGTCTTGGAGGGAATGCTCAACGCATAAGAAACTTTGTTTCGTCTTCTGTTGGTTTCTTTAACAAATTTGTTTTGTTTTTTTTAGTTTTTTTTTTTTTCTTTCGCCGGGCTCTTTAGAGCCAGGGGACCGCGAACCGTTTCTTTATTTACGCGGCGGGTGTCGGTGGGGTCCTCACCCTGGGCGGCGAAGCCGAGCCGGGGTCCAACTAATCAACGTTTGGAGCCCCGGACCTGCATTCCAAACCGGAGGATGCTCCTCGTGCTGCTCCCCGCATCTGCCATATATCAGCTTTGAGACAGTTAATCAGAGTCACGGCGCTCCCTGTCTGTGGGAATAATTACCTCCTCCCCTCCCCCTTCTTTTTTTATTTTTTAATAGCTGTTTTGCAGATGTTTCTGGACGCATGCAACAAACATTTCAATGATGCCAGTTTTATCTACTTGGAGGAGTTTCTAAATAACGGACACCACATTTGATATCTCCAGGTCGGATACCCTTGAAGACACTCTAAAGCCCAATTGATTTTTTGTTTTTTTACCTTCGTTTGTTTGGGGTCCGTTACTGCAACTGCGACGTCGCTCGTGCGGCGAAAGAAGTCCGATGAAAACTGCGGCGCCCAACGTCGCACGTGCGAATTCGCGAGCAAAACCGCACCATGTGAATCGGGCTTTACAAACTACGAGAAAGGTCTAATATTTTGGCACGTTTGTTTTGTCAAAAGACTACTTTCATAAACTCAAACGCCGAAACAAACAACACGATTGCCTCTTCGGCTTCTTTATCTCTCCTCAACGTATTCCGGTATCACTCGAATGCCACGGCCGTCCAGCTATTGCTGCGTACAACCTTTCACACAAGCACCGACTTTTGAGTCCAGGTGATGATACTCGAGTGAAAAAAGAAAAAAAGTGGCCTAACAAGATATGTTTAACATGTTTGCACGAATAGTGGTTCTTTTTTGTGCGCTAAACGGGACGAGACCCTTCAACTTCGAGCCGGTGTTCCAATGGGCGACGATCAGCCACTCGCGTCATCGAACCACAACGCCCCGTTAGGTATCTAGTACGGATTCTGCGTGTTTTCTTCGACGGAGGTATTACTTGCCAAAAATTTGGGTTGCTATTCTCTCGAGAGTGAGATGAGATAACGCTTCGATCCCGTCTTCCCACCCAATCAAACTCAAAACTCAAACATCCAATCAAGGGTTCTCACCTGACATTGTCATTCTGGCCTAAACTCACAAGCGCTCTGTGGCAAGGCTGCCGGAACGAAGAACACCAGAGATTCGAAGCGGCTGCGAACCCGCCACTTCGGGACCGTTTTTCCGTGGCGCCCGCCATCTTGAATTCTGACATAGCTGAGTGGGGCCAAAACCGGAAATAACTTTCCTTGCCGTTTGGAAGGCTCTAGAATTCAAGGAGTTCGTGCAAATAGTTGTACTTTTTTCTTGGCAATCCTTTTTTATGTATAGTTATGCTTAAACTATTTCCATTAGTTTTTGTCGCCCAACCCAACTACGTCATAATTTAACGTGGCAACCGTCACAGGAAAACAGTCTATACTCTATATTCTCAGCTTTACTTAAACACCCATTATTCTCAGCCACGCGCTCATTCGTAAGCAATTTATGAAAATACGACCTTGTTTCTCCAGACAGTTATATTTTCTAAGTGTGCCACTTTGGGCACAATACAAGCGGCTCCATACGGGCCGGCGCGTTGTATATATGCGAGGAACATTGGGACCTCCAGTTCAACAAGAATGGGGTTCCGTGTTCTTCGGTACTCACCGATAAACCCCGAAAATTAGCCCCGGAGCCGATTTTATCCAAATTAAAAAAAAATAATCGAAAAGAAAAACAAAAACAAATTGGAGTTATCTCTGAATAAAAATCCAGGCTTCGCTGAAAGAAACTCGTGATCAGTTTAGGTAAATGGTCAGCTAGAACGATAAGGAGAAAACACAGACAGGGAGAAACAGAGACATACACACCGCTGACTATCAACTAAGACTTTATAATTCTTCATCCCTTTGACCCAAAGATTCGCACCTAAAGTAATGCCAATGAATCACCCTAAATCCTTACATTACACTACAAAATTAAAATACTAAATAAAAATAATTAATTACATTAAATTACTAAATTTGGTCACTAACACCTCCCTGATCCAACCCACAGACCACCGCCCGACACATATCCCTCTTACTCCCTTTCTTCAGCCTGTTACTCGTGATCAGCTTTATCTTGCGCTGACCAGGAACACAGCCCACAGACCTCCTGCGTTGTGGGAGCTGCGAAAAAAAAAAAAACTTGTTTGGATTTGTTTTGTGTACTATAAACTTGAGCGCCTCGAAGTGTCACACATGTAGAAGCGTGCCTGCTCTCGTGCGGACCAAGATAACGAAAAAAAAAAAAAAATTCTAACCCGGTTGAAGCGCAGGTCAAAGATAAAGCCAGATTCACACAATCCAAATTTTCGTGGGATTTCGAAACTGCGGCGTTGAGAACCGCAGCCTCCACCACGCTTTTTCTGCCGCACGAGCGACGTCATAACTGCGAAATCGCAAGTAAAATCGCGCCATGTGAATTCAGGCTTAAGACGATAAGAGACGCGTTCCAAATAAAAAGAAAATAAAACGTCAGGACGCCAGATGATTGACGTCACCACCCAGAGATAAGCGTACCCTAGCGGTGGTGGCATGAATCTAGAACTTTCGATTGTCGTGCGGCGTTGTATCTAGCCGATTTCGGACGTCCAAAGGTGGTTACCCGTTCTTCGGCACTTCAGAGGAAGCAGCAGCTCAGGGAAGGCGCCATAAATAGTGCGAAAAAACAATGAGGTGAACATGTACTACCCAACATGGGAGCGCAACAGTTTCTTCGAAGCTTCAGCGCAGGAGGCCCATAATGGACGCTCCTCGAGGCTGCTACTTTTTTTTTTTTTTCCTGGGAAACCACATCGTTTACTTTGTTTGATAATGCCCGAGTCCCACTAGAGCGACAAGGAGAAACAACCGACGCCAACAAGCCCCGGGCCCGTACAGCATGCACGGGAAGGTATCACTGACAGTCTCGCAATCACTCCTGCTTACTTCACGCGCACCGGGACACCGCAAGCTTGCCAAAGTTACCATCGCATTCATGATGCACGTGTTTGAGGCTTGCCGGTGACGGCTGCTTTTGTTTGTCGCCCTAGTGGGACTCGGGCATTAGTGCCACCGAAGTAATTTAAAAGTATGCGGGTTACGCGCACACTGGGAAATCCTACGCACAACTGTTTTTTTCGACATAAGCCCTAACAAATGCCGTTTTTTTTCTTTTTTCTTTTTTTTTACGCACAAAACTTTGATACCAGAAAGCTCCCCCGAACCTTCGGGGAAATAAATAATAAAGCCCGAGAACACGTACTTACGAAGCAAATAAGAAGAATTCAGGTTCGTTTCGTGGTCTCGCCATGGCCAGCAAGATGCCACCTCGAGCACGACAAAAAGTAACCAGCGGCAGTGTCGGTGCTCGCTAACGCGCCGGAAGAGAGTTATACCAGAAAAAGCTGCCCTGGAACAGCGCCCCGTAAAAATAAAATTCATGGCCATAAATTAAACTTGAAAACTAGAAATAAGTCGACATGACACCGCAGTCTTCGTTCCTTTTTATTTGATATCTTTTCCACGAGTGTTGAAATAGCAGTTTAGTTTTGCGGTAATATATAAATATAAATGCAATCTTGAACAGGCTTACTGTGCTTCGAGAACTTTCGGAGATAAATCATAAAGCACCCTGAATGTCCACAATCGGTATCTCTTTATTTTTTTTTTTTTTAGAGTAGCGCGTGAGAAAATAGCATTTGGGTCAGTTTCCGTCAACTATTATCGGTATATTTTTTAACTAAATAAGCCGACAATTCTAGAAAGCTGCACAGAGAAACACAATATCAGTGATGTACGCTTCATTTTCTTTCGACACAATCCAAAGAAAGTCAAGAATACAAAGAAATCATCCAAAAATAAACAAAAACAATGAGCGCAAACTCGAAACAGAGAAAAAATATCACAAAATGACGTCACAGTTCTCCGGAAGATTCAATTCTCGGATGTTCTCCAAAAGTTAATCTCTCTGAGTAGCGCTCTAAAAAGAAAAACACGTTCACAAGCTCGCTTCCAGCTCAAGACTAGTAAACAACAACAGTAAAAATCGGTTGGCACTAGACCCCGCACCTTCACAAAATTTCAACAAAATCCGACAAGCTTCGTTCAACGCAACCATCACCAGCCGCACACAACACTCAACGTTCAGCCTTCCTTGCACTCCCGCACTCCTCGCAAAAAAGATTCTCGATTCTTTCCGATTCTTTTTTTTTTCCTCAGTCCTTGTTCTGAACAGCGGGACCTTGAAAAAAACGCTGCACCTGTTTCTTTTTTTTTTTTAATTCGTCGAAATTACGTTCCCCGCAAATCGGTTAAACAGTCCACCAACTGATCATACAGGCAAAAGTCACCGGTACGAAAAGAACGAAAACTCCCGGAACGTCACGCGTTTGTACCTCCGTGTTGAGGACGACTGCGACGTCATACTTTTTTACCACCGGATAATACGCAAAAAAAAAAAAAAACCACGGACAATTTGTAAGATTGGACAGGACGTGGGAGTCCTGTCCAGCTCTTCCTTAGAATTGACCATGTTTTTGGCGTATTGTCCCACGATCACCAGCTAGCCCAAGTCGCCATCTTAAGAGGAAATGCGGGCTAAAAACGGCAATATTTCGCACAAAAAAAAAAATCATTTGGGGTTTTATGGTGTATTATTATTATTATCTTTGAATCTTCATATTTTATGTATAAAAATAATGACAGGTTATGATCGCGAAATTATTCAAATACGTATTTGAAAAACTCCCGGCAACCCAGAACGGCATAAATGTGAGCCATTTCCATGCCCGCCATCACATTTATGTTAAGAAGTAGGCCTAGCCGTCGCCTCTTCATCGCAGTTTTCTGTGGATATGACTTCTCACGTATATTTATTAACAACAGATCATTTTACACGCCGCGAAAGAGTGTTGCTACATATCTGTGGTAACATTCAAACGTGCTCTTCCTGTAATTTTGGGGCATCTTCCCAGTTTGCGCAGAAGAATTTATGTGCTTAATGCTGTCCTATCGCAACCTAATGTGTCATGCACACGCTTGAAAGTATGTAGAATGCAACTACCAGGTTGCTTAGACAGTATTTTTTTTTTGTTATATTTATGTAACATCTCAGGAACTTTTGTTAGCCCCTTGAAGATGGCATTTTTGCGATTTTAAGTTATAAAATAATGTAGGTCTCGCGCATAATATGGTTGCTGTTGGTTGCGCTTGGTGGTTCAAAAGGACCGAATCGCCTGGCTCATAGACTCCCCACGTGTGCGCAGGAACATGTTTTGTTTTTTTCTGCATATGCACAGCATATTATAACCTGTACTAAAACCTGTAAAAAAATTCATCCAGTTATTGTATTAAAAAAAAAAAAATTGTTTTCCACTGGCGCATGCCCGCTTCGTACTTTCTCCATCGCATTCCCGGAAGGGTGTCGTCATTATTTTGTAAAAAAAAAAAAAAAAAGATATTAATATTAAATTACTAGAGCGACTTCTGACAATTGTCTTGGGCGTCCCTTTAACGCTACAAAACGCCGCTTTGTGTGAGTGTGTGAGCAGATCTTGCATAAACACATAAAAGCAAACCCGAGGCAACTCGAGAAAAACAAAAAAACGGAGACTAGATGCCTGCGTGTCGATTCGAATCCTCACCCCCAACAACCTTACCACACTCAAAAAGGGAACGTCGGCAAGTTGTAGTATAGACCAACACGCGGCCCTGACGTCACGCAGCTGCGGTGGCGCTGTCGACGGCACGGCGCATGCGCAGACGCTTCGCTTCGCGCGAATTTGGTTTCTGCGCAAGCGCAGTGCCCACACCTGGTGTGGGCAAACGCGGGTTTGTTTGTAAACAGCGTGTCGGTCTATACACAAATAACAGCATGCGCGTCTCTTCGAGCCTCCGTCGATCGCGAGGCCTCGGTGCTAAATGTGTGACGTCACCTGCCGAAGGCCATCGCTGGCCAGACATTGAACGCGAGTTCCGGACAAACGCCGACGCAGCGCTCGCATCCAATCTGCGGCCTCCGCTAGGTGACGTCACAAACTCACCACTAGGGGCCTCCGGTCTCTACAACGTTTCACACAAATTCCCACACCAGGTCCGCGCGCAGTTGACCTCGCCAGGCTGCTCTCGAACTTGGCGCGAAAGGGAGCATAAGAGGTGTTGGTCCATCCCGTTCAGCACCGACGGGCCGCGACAGCGCTGTCGCCGCTGAAGCCGAGGCCCAGAGCGACCCGGTGCAGCCAGTCAGCCGCGAGAACCCTGAGCTCTGGCTCCGAGGGCGCGGCTCCGATGAGCGCCTCGACCCCGGAGTAGAAAACGGGCACCAGAGCCAGGAACTCGGGCTCCTTGAGGGACAGGTGCAGCTCCAGGACAGACTGGGCGAGCTGGGACCACACCTGGACGTGGGCCTCCGCATCCTGCGCGGGAGTTTCTCGTTCCGGTAACTCCGATAAGGGAACACGACAGTCCGCTGACGACGCCTTCACGCGTGCGTCGCATATTTATCGAGAATAGCTGTCGAAGGTTTCGAAACGATCTACGAAAACTGCTTAATAGGGTGAAACAAGGAGATGGCAGGCTCTTTAAATCGACCGGAAAATTCGGTTTCTTAACCTATCGCGCTACGACTTTGTGCAGCGTTGCCCACAGATGGCGCATTTTTTTTTTTTTTTTTTGTAAAATTTGCGAAGAGCGAACTTACCTGAGGAAAAAGTAAAGAAAGAAAAATGCTTAGCTCCTATGGAAACGCAGCGACACCACCGGTCTTCAAACAACACGGCACCGTTTTGCACGGGAGACAAGAGATGGCGCAGCAAACGCCGCCAACAAACGAGCATGCGGCGCCGAGAGCAGGCCTTTTTAGCAGACGATCTTTTCGACTCAAAAGCGGCGCGCGTTCCGCAGGCGGCGACAGTCGCAGAAACAAAAAAGACAGGCGCGGTAACAGCAAGGAACTGTAGTTCCTTGTCTGCAAAAAGGCCGGCTCTCGGCGTCGTCTGCTCGTTCGTTGCCGGCAGTTGGCGTCACGACCGCTTGCGCCATCTCTTGTCTCCCGCGCGAAACGGCGCCGTGTTGTTTGCAGACCGGTGGCGTCGCTGCGTTTCCCTAGGAGATAAGCCTTTTTCTTTCTTTACTTTTTCCTCAGGTAAATTCGCTCTTCGCAAATTTTACAAAAAAAAAAAAAAATTCACCATCTGTGGGCAACGCTGCACAAAGTCGTAGCGCGATAGGTTAAGAAACCGAATTTTCCGGTCGATTTAAAGAGCCTGGCGTCTCCTTGTTTCACTCTGTAGAAGGCCGTTCCGATACCTCCGATAACGATACCCGAAAACGGCACGATGACTACGCAAAGCATCGCCGGAGTATCGGGTATTGTTATCGGAGTTATTGGAAGCACCCACGAAAACTGCCTAATAGGAGGTTTTGGAAGATCGTTTGGATGCCTACGATAACGGCACGACGCTTGCGCGACTATGTGCATAAAGAACTAGGAATGTTGCGTTTCAGACACCAGATGAAGTATGATATCATTATAAAACGCTTTCTCAACAACAAACATAACGTGGAAATTACCAAAGGAAGAACGTTAAGACCGAATAGGAAATTTATTGAACCATTTATTTATGCCAAATATGGAGCGGCCACAAGAAATTATTAAGTACCCAAGATTTTTAATGAATTACCTGAAGAGGTACTCAAGATTAAAAAGAGCTGTCAAAAACGTGGATACTCGAACAAAGTAAAAAAAAAAAAACACCCATAGAGAACGGGTTTAGTTCGATAATTTGAATTGCAGTTAACGACATGACATAAGTAATGCCAAAATCCAACATCGCTTATATACAACTGATGTTTAATGAATTAGTGCAATAGACTAACTATATTTTTCTGATGGATGAAGAAAGAATAAACAAGTAACACTGAGACAGCACAGCCACATATTTCATATTTTTCTGGAGATAGAAACTCCATTTATTTTGCAATGGTCCGTTCTAGTGCAAGTTCCACAATTCCCTAATAAAAATGCAGGGGCATCTGTCGCGCCCCGGGCACAAGCCAATACACTAAGAAAAAAAGGAGAAAAAAGGTAGCAACGGCGCGTTTTCCTCCCTTCTACTGACGCGTCCCCAAGCGGACACGAGAACAAGAGAGGAACGAAACGTTTTTCTCCTTCTCCAGGCAGACGGGATTCGCCCTCCCGACTCATGTTGTTGCGGTTTCGTTTTTCGAGCACGTCGCGCACGTTGTTTAATAAATGTTGTTGATTTGATTGAGCTTCAGCGACAGCGAATGCCACCTGTAATTCTGTCTCCCAGTCCAAACGTGCAGAACATTTTGGTTGCATTGACGTTTTTACCACTAATTTTATCAAACGAGCAAACCAAGCTGCTAAAAACAGCGAAGTCAGAGCCAGCAGCGCTACGTACACTGGATAAGATGGCCGTCTCCGGATTGCGGGACCCACGCGAAACCACGCGGAACTGTGTCGACTTTTTCGACGTTATGGAAATCGCAGAAACAGCCACCACTGCAGGCAGGTTTTACTGCCGGGTGCCTGGGTGCCTTCTGTGCTGAGTTCGGTTCTGTTTTCCGTTGCCGAATGCCAACCGGCAATCAACGTGGTTTTGTATTTCTGCGTGTCAGCAACGTAGCAGCAACATCGTGATGGCAGTGCTGTGCGTTGTGAACAGAAGACTGGAATTGTCACCGCTGTGACCGCGTGTTCGCGTATCAGTGGTGTAAAAACAAGATGAGATGACGTAAACTGACGGGCATTGATGCCACTGGTCGAGCCGTGATCGGAGGGGGCGGAGTGTCGCAGGTTGACATTCCGCTTTACATTAAAGAGTTTAAGACCCCTTGAGGGATTAGGTGCAATCGATCGACGTGCGGATAGTCAAGTTGGAACGTTGGTCTGAACCGTAAGTTCCTATCGTACAGTGGCCAATGTGACTGTCGGTTATCTCCTCTCCGAGAGCGATTGCGCTCTGGGGAAAGGACTAACAGTACAAAAATTTGACGGAAAGTACGTATATTTACAGTTTGGAATTTTAGCATTGAGAAAAAATTATAAATAGAATCGATGTATATACTACGGTTTCTGGAGGAACTGCCCTCCAAGTGGCGCGCTGGGATGAGCGCTAGAAGTTTTCGAGCTCGCCACGGCGTAACTCCGTACACTTAACACCTGCCGCAAGTCGCGGCTTTGACTGCATTCAAGGTGATCGAAAAGCAATTTCTCTGCCCGTGAAGCATCACTTCCAGCTGAGTGAATTTCAGCCGTGCGCGAACAGCACAAATAGAAAAACAAAGACTACAATAAAAATACTGGCTACGACGTGCCGTGCGGGGAAGCAAACATATGGCTTGAAACCGCATTGGAGCGGCTTGATTTATTTGGCTACATTGGTAAACAGAAAAAAAATGCTGTATTTGCTCTTGGAAATTTATTCCCACTGAACGCTGTAGTGACCACAACTTACAAAACCGCCGAACTCCAAAATATACTGAAAAGCACACACACACATAATCGCGAGGAATAGAGGGCAGCAGGTGTGAACTTCGAACATCGCATTTTATCTATGCAATCAAGAATTGCACCCTTAATTCCCCGACGAACGATGTCCTTCGCAAATCTGACTCGTTCAGCACTACCATCTACACATTTCCTAAACCAAGGGACAGTTTAGACAACCGAGCTTTTCGGGCAGTGGTTAAGTGTCTGATCTGGTAAATGTTCCGTCGGCCCCTGAAAAGCCATTAAACACCCCATTTTACTTTTTTTAAGTGCCTATACTTCGTTTCACCTTATGTCCGAGCGCGGCCGATGTTATGAGCCAAAGGGTCAATCAAACAGCGCAAAAAAGCGCAACGTCATGGCGTGCACTCTGCGCTTGATAGGACTAGCCGGCGGAGGAGCACGCACAGAGAGACGGCGAATACCGGACGCCGGTTTCTCTGTGGACGAATACCAACTGCAGAGAGCCCGCCATGACGTAGTGCCTCTTTCGCTGTTTGATTGGCCCTTCGGCTCATAACATCGGCCGCGCTCGGACCAAAGCTGAAACGAAGTATAGGTAGAACGCCTACGCCACAAACTAAAGTCCTACAAAAAAAAAGAAGAAAAACGCAATATCTACATGATTAAACTTTGTGGCTGACGTCTCGAAATAAAATGACGTTTCGGAATCGCTCCCCAGTCAAAATGTCTTACGATTCAAATATTTTGTTCGTTTGTTTTTTCTCGGGGGAGGTTTATTTTGTTTTTCTTCTTTTTGGGGGTGGAGCTTAGTGTATTTTTTTTTTAGATGGAGCTGTTAAGAGCTAGTTTCGCCAGTTTCGTGTCCGCGGACAAACAAATCTCGACACAAACCTCTGAACAGCTACCGCCATGTATGAGCAACGGCGGCAACCAGACAACCAGCTTGCCGGTTGTCTGGTTGCCGCCATCGCTCAAAGATGGCGGCACACAGTACCAGCTCCGCTGCTCTTCCTTCTTTACCAGAGTGAAAAGGCTTAAAGTTTTTCTTCTTTTTTTAAATTTCGACTTACCTTGAGGATGGAGCATTTCCGCTGGTTCTCCACTTCCTTGGGCAGTGGCGGCGCCGTCGACTGCGGAGGCGGCGACGAAGGAGGAGGGCTCCCCACCGAAGAAGCCCCGTCCTCGTTGCCCGCCGGCACGCTCCTGGACCGCATGAAGGCCGCCCTGGACCTGTGTCCGGCGGCGGCGGCGGCGGCCGCGCTGGCCGGAGGCATGGAGTGCCTCGTCTTGCGCCGCTTGTACTCGGACACCATGCTCTGGATGGTCTTCTCGGTCACTACGGTGTACACGCGGTCCGGCTCCAGCGTCCGCTCTTCCGACGGGGGGTCGGCGGCGGGCTCCGACGACGAGTCCGAGTCCGTGCTCGAAGGTCGGTGGCCGCTCGGCGAACCTCCGCCCACGCCCTCCCTACTGGGGGCATACAAAAGACGCTGGCGACCAAACAACTTAAAAACAAAACAAAAAAAAAAAATAAGGCGGCGTCACCTAGTCGGTTTTTTACGTTGCCCAAGCACTTAAAGGGATGGTGAACCGAAAATTGGATTTCAAAAAAACAATGCTGGAGGTGTAGGCGGGACGCTACAATCCCTACACTACTAGTAAGGCGATATCTCAAATGGACGGCCGTATTTTTGGAAAAAGAAGTCGATGTTGAACCAGGCCGACGAGGCGCGTAACCGTCAAGATACCTAGTTTCCTCCTCTCTTCGCTTCGCTCCCTCAAAGCCGCGAGGCGGAGAAGACGCGAGGCCGTTCCCTCTCCTTCTCGGAGAAACATGACGTCAACAATCCTGCCAAATGCGCCTCTTTTTTTTTTTTTTTTTCTTTTTTTTTCTAAATACGGTCATCAGTTTGAGGTATCGCTGTATGAGTGATGTTTTTGTGTTTGTGGCATCCCGTTGCACGCTTCTGCCGCGTGTTTTGGGGAATCCAGATTTCGGTTCAGCATCCCTTTAAGACGTTGGTGGACACCTTAAATGAGACTTTTCTTCCCATTTGTTTAATGCTAAGATTTTCACAACGCTCTAACTTTCTCCACCTTCGAACACAGTTTGTGATTCTATTCTTATCTCAATCGCCGCGGTATGCATCGAGAAGCCCGATGATTAATACCTGTCAATTTCTTCCTTCCATTAACTTCGTCGCTCCCTCCACTGGCATGACGCGTCACACTCTAAGTAAATTGTACAGACGCGCCAAATTACCTTTGCTTGTTTGCGACGGAAAGGAACGGCGGCCACATACGAGAGAGAGAGAGAGAGAGAGAGATGGGCCGGTGTGAGTGTGACGGGCAGCGAAAATCGCCTGGCTTAGACATTCCGCCCAATGGAATGAAATGCGATGGCACTTGATGAGGATTTTTGACGAGCCGCACTATACCTATCGGAATGATATTCAACGTGGCACGTGGCGAAGGAATTTGGAATGGATATAAAGGACCTCTTCAAAAATGGACATTTTCCTTTGGCGCATCACATCCTTTTTCACGAAATGCCGTCGCGCATACACACCTACTAGATCATTTTACTAGAACGCCACTGCTGCGCTACAACTCAGCCTTCGCCCCCACGTAGCGGAGAGGGCGTAGCGGGGGTCGGCGGAGCATCGACTACCGTTATCGGAATCATCAGAGCGATATACTAAAACTCCCTAGTGTTAGCGCACCCCCCCCCCCCCCCAACATTTTTTTTTTTTTTTTTTTACTCTGCACGGCGCTACGCCGTTGGTCAGGAGCGCCATGACGTCAAACTCAGCCTTCGCCCCCACGTAGCCGAGAGGGCATAGCGGGGGTCGGCGGAGCATCGAATACCGTTATCGGAATCATCAGAGCGATATACTAAAACTCCCTAGTGTTAGCGCACCCCCCCCCCCCCCTTCCAACCTTTTTCTTTTACTCTGCACGGCGCTACGCCGTTGGTCAGGCCCGTCATGACGTCAAACCAATAGCTTCACTTCGTTGCTGACACTCCCTCGTGGCCTTGCTACGGCGCGACCAACCGAACACCAGCTCGCAAAATCCCTGCAGGGTTCCCGTATAAAACTATCGACATTAAAAAAAAAGAGATATATATATATACACGCTCGGTGATGCTGACAAAGACTGGTAAGGGCAGAACGTCTGATAGACAAAGACTGGTAAGGGCAGAGCGTCTGAACGACACCACCTACCGAAGATCCGCTTCCATTCCTCGCACCACGCCGAGAAATAGAGCGGCACGACACGAAAGGCCGCGAAGCGCGCGACCGCGCCTCTTCGCGGGTCGTGGTAATGGGGAGTTTTCGTAGCTAGTTTTCGCCGTCCTGAAACACTCTCCACAACCCGCTACGATACCCGAAACTCTACAGTCAAGGCTATCGGCACGCAGACGCAGCAGAGGCTTCTTCGTTGCGGAGGGCTTAGTGGAGGGGGAAACTCGGTCTACGAAGCGTGCTTTGGCCACCGACCTTGGACAGCTCAGTGGGCAAAGTATACTTGCCGAGTTCAAATTCTGTCGGGGACTGAAGTCTTTTTATATGGGTCTCTATGAGCGTAACGCTTTTTTGGTGTCAGTTTTTCGCTACAGCCGACTGTTACAGCTGGCCGTTACGAAACTCCATGAAAATGAACTAATAAAACCAATTCTGTGTTTAAACAAAACAATTAGACGTTTACAATTCTCTGTTATGCCTAATTAGAGCGCAGCTCTTGAGGAGGAGGAGGGGAGGGTACGGTGGAGAGAGCCACGAGTGACATCAGACGTGACGTCACGTGTGACGTCACGAGGGTAAAATTTTCCCACTAAATTCGGCGGAAAAATATTCACGCTAAGTTTAGCGGAAGAATTTCCCGTCAAATATAGCGGGAAAATGTCACCCTCGTGACGTCATTATGAGAAATGTTCCTTGATGCAACGCAAGTCGGTAACGGGCGCCTAACAGTTGCGCTCTGAAATGAGACGTTTACAAATCTCTGTAATGCAAAATTAGAGCGCAGCTTTTGAGGAGGAGGAGGGGCGGGTACGGAGAGGAGGGTATGCCCCTCCTCCTCCTTCGTACCCTCCCCTCCTCTGCTCCTCTCAATCCTCCTCCTCCCCTCCTCCTCCTTTCATCCTCCTGCCCCCTCATCCTTCCCCTCCTGCTCCTCCTCCTCCTCCAGTGTACCCTCCCATCCTCCCCTCCATACCCTCCCCTCCTCCCAGTTTCCCTGCTAAATTTATCTGGAAAACTGACGCCACGTGACCTCAACACCCAATTCAGTTTCCCCGCTAAATTTACACATGAGTTTGTCACGTCACCCATGAACGAATTCAGTTTCTTCGCTAGATTTAGCGGGAAAATTTATGCTACTTGACCTCAACACAAACTTAATTTCCCGCGAAATTTAGCGGAGCCGTTACGCCGACGGCGACGCCGCTATACGCAGAAAGGATGACTCACCGATCCCCGTGCGGCAGGATCTCGGGGAGCGTGTCCGGCTGTGCCATGAGATAGAAAATGGGCTGGTCTCCGACCTGGTCCACGATGGCGTTGCCCTTGGCCTCCGGTGAAGCCACGCGCGCGTAGTGGACGCACAGTTCTTGGAACAGTTGTCGCAGACGCCCGAACGGGTTCCAGTTCAACGTGCGGCCGCCTTCCTGCAGGGCGAGTTCCTCGCTTGAAACCTCCACGCCTGCACTCGGCAGTGTGCCGGACACTACACCAGTCCCATCGGTTAGACGGACCTCAAACTGTGCCCGTTGTCAGTGACCCGAACTCCTCGACCTACGAAATTTCGTGCACCGTCTTTTTTTTCCCCGTCAGCAACGCGAACGCGACTGCTCCACGGAGATATCGGCTCGAAAAGCTATCCTGGCTCGCCCTTAGATCTTTCGGCTTGGGTATACAGTAACCAAACGCTAAATGCCATTTTTACGCTCGCAACCTTTCACGCACGGTACGAGAAAAACGGTACGTCGACGACCAAGCCAAAAGTTCGTCCGTAGCGTACGGTCCAGTTAGGCGGGTCGAACAAGCTTCAAAGCGTAGACACGACAAAAAGCACCGCGTCCACAAGCTTCGTAGCCGATTGTTCGACTCCAACCGGCAACCCCCCCCCCCCCCCCCACCTCCCCAAAAAAGAAAAAGAAAAGGTCCCTACCGGCGTTATACCGAAGCGTGAGCGTATCGCTCGCAAGCAAGCATGTTTTCGCAATGTCGGCGAGAAGAGTTGCTTGCACTTTGAGCCATATACTGCGTCGACCACTAAGCCAACAAGGTACGCAAGCTACGTCCTCGCTGATTCAATCCATCGCCCGCCCTTAATCGCCTTTGCGCTGGAGCATGCGCAGAAGGCGTGTGGTCCGAGACAGATGGAAGACTGGTTAAAAGGTCAAAAATAGGAGCCGGCGGATTTGTCCGACGGCCACCTAGCTCGAGAACAGGGCCTGCTGTCATCGACGAATGTACGCGGAAAAGAGGCAGACGCTCGCGAGTTGGAATCACCGCGCGCTAGCATCGTGCAGGTCGTGGGACGCCCCAAGACGCACTTAAGATGGTGTGAGATAAAGTCGTGATCGTAACTATGCTGCCACGAACGTGTCTACGACCGCTGTGTTTACCACGTCCTCACACGTGATCCCTCCATTTCCGCTTGATGACGTCGTAAAAGAGTCCCGCCGTTGCATGCCGCGATTGTGGACGCGGCAGACGCCTGCTCGGCTGGCTGCATGTACAGTCGGGAGCAAAAGTTTGCGGGGCACGGGAGCGCGTGCCGAAATGCATCGCTGCGCCGTTCGACGGCGCTCCACCGCATTAAAAAGCCGCGCTTTGCGCATGCGCGCCCTTCGTGGTGGCAGTCATGTCTCTTTCGCTCGTTTCTGTCCAACTCACTCCTGATAATCGGAGCCGGCGCCAGGGGCGCAAGTAGCCGTTTCGCTGGCTGTCATGCCTCGCGTCCTCTTCAGCTGCCTCAGCAGCCGCGCTGGGTAACGGAGCGCCTGGTTACCCCCCCCTCCCCCCCCCCTCCCCCCTTCCCCCTAGGCGATCTCCATGACAAAGCGCGGTGGCTGAGGCGGCTGAAGCAGACGCACAGCATGACAACCAGCGAAGCACTAACTCGCGCCCCTGGCGCCGACTCCTGTTATCAGGAGTTCGTCGAAAAGGAACGAGCGAAAGAAACACGATTGCGAGCACGAAAGACGCGCATGCGCAAAGGGAGTTTCCTTAATGCGGCGGCGCGCCGTCCGACGGCGCGGCGATGCATTTCGGCACGCGCTCCCGTGCCCCGCAAACTTTTGCACCCGACTGTACGTGCTCCAGCCACACAATCGGCGAAAAAAAAACTCAGCGGCCAGGAGGTGGGACGACGGGACGGCACGCCTAAACCCACGCCTATAAAGCCACGCTTTAGAGTAACCACACACATTTATAACGATGCTTATCAAATCGCCGTTGCCGGTTCATCCGACAGCTCTGCCAACACCCCGGTTCCCGTGACGTCATTTGTAATCATTTCAAACGTTACTACCGGGTGTCTCGGGTAGCGGCCAGGCTCTTTAAACCGACCGCGAAATTCGGTTTTTTAACCTATCGCGCTACAATTTTGTGCAGCGTCGCCCACAGGTGCTGCACTTTTTCTATAAAAATTGCAAAGAGCGAACTTCCCCGAGGGAAAAGTAAAAAAACAAAAGGCTTAGCTCCTATGGAAACCCAGCACAGGGCGCCCTATTGTTTCAAGACCGGTGGTCTCGCTGCATTTCCATAGGAGTTAAGCCTTTTCTTTTTTTACTTCTTCCTCGGGGAACTTCGCTCTTTGCAATTTATATAGAAAAAGTGCACCACCTGTGGGCGACGCTGCACAAAATCGTAGCGCGATAGGTTAACAAACCGAATTTTGCGGTCGATTTAAAGAGCCTGGCCGCTACCCGAGACACCAGGTAGATTACCTCAGTCGTGGAACTCTCGCGGAAGGGGGTACCCCGCTCACTCACTTCAGTACGCCTCCCGTCGTTCGAAGCGCCATTTAGCTTTTCGTTTCCGAACTGTGTGTTTCATAGAGTACGGTGGAACTAGACGCTGCGCTTCGAAACTTACGTATTCCATAGAATACACTGCAGTTACCAATAGGAGCCGTCCGGCGCGTCAAAAGACGGGAGGCGAGTCGTGGTAAGTGGGAAAAGGGGGGGGGGGGGGGGGCGGGTTCTGCTCGCGCATGCAGCGTCTATGAGCAGTTCCGTGTGTGAGCTAATCTAATAACGTTGGCCACTTTGGGACCTCCCCTCCTTCGATGCGTGGGCGGCATAGGACGGTAAACGGAGCGGTCGGTGGCGGGTTCCGGGCAGCGTACGGCGCCGTACCTGGGAGTCGGGTCCCTCCCGCGACACCGTGTGCTCGACGACGCCGAAGGAGTCGCTCCCGCGCCGCGCGTGCTGGCGCCGTCGGCGCAAACGCCTCTCGGACAGGTTGCTGGTGCGCCTCGGAAGTCGCGCCGGGGAGTTGGCGCTGCCGTCGGCGTCCGAAGCGAAGCAGGAAGACGACGTCGACGCACGGTCCGGCAGCGGGCTGCAACGGTCGGAATCTGCAAACTGCTCCGAGACGCTCGGGCCTTTGTCCTCTTCGTGCAACTCGTCTTCGGCATTGCCTGAAAAAAAAAATGAAAGCCGTTTACAAATCCCTGTAACGCCGAATTGGAGCGCAGCTCTTGAGGAGGAGTAGGGAAGGGTACTGAGGGGGGACACGTCACCTGCGGGTAGTCACGTGACCCCAGGGGGGTCACGTGATCTCGAGGGAGGAACTCACGTGACCTCGGGGGGGGGGGGGGGGTCACGTGACCTCGGGGGGATCACGTGACATCGGGGGGTGGTGACGTGACCCCCCCCCCCCCCCCCCGGTTACGCCAACGTTGACGGCGACGCCGACGCCGCTCAGGCTGGAAACGGGCCCCTAAGAGCTGCGCTCTAAAAAAATAATAAGAGCGTCCGTTAGATTTGTTGTTTTGTTTTGTTTTTCAGCGGATAAACATTGCTGAAATAGATCGCCCGGCTTAGACATTCCGTCAAAATCAATGTAGGTACGATAGCAATTTTTGGTGTTTCTAACGAGCGGTACTTCCTACGGAATGATACGCAATGTGGCACATGACGTAGGAATGAGGAAAGTATAGATACGTAGCGGAGGGAGAAGGCGAGAGGGGGGATGTTAGCGGAAGAAAAAACAGAGCAAGGGTTGGGGACGCTAGCAGACGATGGACGCTTTCACCTCCTCCTGGCAGCTTGTGTTGCAAACGAGACACACAAACCACGTGACTTCTACCGAGCACTCCTACATCTAGGCACACTAATATACCCTATGCACTCACCATGCCCCTTGCGCGCGCGAGCCGGCGGCCGGTCCCCGCCGTCCCGATGAGACGCGACCAGCCTGTCGACCAGGTGCATGGAGAGCGGCTCCCGGGGCGGCTTCCTGAGGCAGAGCTCGAGGAGCACGACGGCCTGGACGGCCCAGCTGATGGCGGCCTGCTTGAACAGGTTGGCCGCCACCTCGGCCTGGGCCACCTTCTGCACGAGGAACTTGAGGCCCGGCCGCTCGTCGAAGTCCGTGGCCGTCGTGTGCGACTCCCCGAGCACGTCCAGCAGCCGCAGCAGCTCCTCCTCCGGCAGACGACCCAGCTGACCTTCGAGGCGACGGGCGATCGTGCAGTGGGTCACGTTAGAGAGTGTTTAGCAGACCGTTCCCCGATGACTCCGATAACGATACCGGATATTCCATCGCTGCCTTTGCGCGTGCATCGCGCATCGTTAATGGGTATCGTCATTGCCTATCGTTATTAGAGAGATTTAGGAAACAGTTTTTGCACATCCCATACGATACGACGGGCCCTCCGGCACGAACTGCGCATGTGCGAGTCTCTTCGGTAGCGCATGCGCCGTTCGTACCAGAGGGCGGATCGTACCGTATCGGATGTGTAAAAACGGTTCCTTAAAACTTTATATTGCAGTCTACGGTCTCATAAGCCTCCCTAAGGACACGAAAGGTTTTTAACGCCTCGTTCCTCGAATGAGTATCTCGACAAGAACCTTTATATTACAACGCGACCAAACACGGTTTGAAACGAACATCCGCGGTAGGGTTGCTCGATGCTTTTCGGTCCTCGGAAAGCCAGAGCTACCACTCCCGAGATTCACGACGTTCTCGGCGCTGTAGTGTATACACGCCGCGCGACGCTGATGACGCGAACGAGCCGATCGCGGGTTATTCCTATTCTTCGTTCGTAATTGAAAGCCCGCCGTCAAAGAGTTTCGACGGCATCGAAATACTACCCTAGAAGGTCAAATTGGGTTCCCTCCGATAACATTTCGAAGTAAAAAAATTCCCCAAAACGCCGATGTTGTGTTCGCGCCATGTTTCCAGCGTCACATACTCGCGGTGTTTCGGCTTTCTGCGATGCGTAGTTTATTTTTTTTTGCTAGCCGAAAAATACGGTTTCCTTTTTCTTTTTTTCTATCGATGGATGCGTGCACGCGTCGGTGCGCGAGTGAACGCACCAGCCAGCTGGGGGGTGTCCGCGGAACCTCGGCGTTCGGCCCCGCCGCCGGGGTGGCCCCGTGGCGACGGCGGGCAGCCGAGCACGCTGGCGAGGGCGGGCAGCCTGAACGGAGTGCCTTCGAGAAGGAGCGTCGCCAGGGTCTGCAGCAGGATCTGGTGCGACAGAAGACCCACGACCAGGCTGCGGAAGGGAACCCTGCCGCACACACAGAGACGCACGTCGCAAAAAAGAGAGCGAGAAAGGTCGACATCAAAAAGGGTGACAGCGACATTTATGTCCAAAGTACTATGATGCATGAAATGCAGCATTTGAGTAGCTGTCGTTTCGATTTCGATAGAAGGAAATGAACAGTCATTTCGAAAAATTAAAAACCTATGTTTTTTTTTTTTTTTTTTTTTTTTTGTTGTGAATTTCGAAGTTTGGCGTGGAAACTGACTCGCTACAAAGGTCACGTGACTTCAATTTCCCCGCTAACTTTAGCGGGGAAGTGAATTGGTATGGTAGGTTTCGTCAAGGTCAGATCACGTGGCATGAATTTGTGATGTCACTTTTCCCGATAAATTTAACGGGAAATGCGCAAATGGAAGGACGAACAAAAATTTTCGTCCGAGGCTTATTTGTTTCATTTTTTACCCTCAAAGCCAGTGGCGTTATAAAGGGGAGTGGTGAGAAAGCAAACAAACAAGAAATAAAAATTAAAAAAAAACACGTAAACAACGGGGAATGCATGGCTTACAACACTCGAACCAAAAAAAGCATAATCAATAATTGACGTTAGTAATGCCGGTACATGATTCAATCCATTCAAACCTTAAGAATAAATGATGCAAAAAAATGGTTATAGCAAAATGGGATCTAGACATGCGGAAACAAATGATGGCGGGGTTATCAGAATATTTCTGAGTACGGTGTTGTCCACCGGGATTTGTATTCCTACAGAAGAAACCAAGAATCCACGAATCACGAAACATTGTCAGCTTTTCAAAGTATTCCTCGTTCACGTACAGCCACCGCTGCCATTGTTTTGGCAGCTCTCCAATTCTTTTGGCGTAGAAAAAAGAACTGGGCCGCGCGACTGCATTCGGACGAACGCGTGTCGTGCGATTCATTTGTCGCCGACTGTCGTCGTTCGTCAAACTGTTGACACTATTCGCGTATTCTTGTCCGTGATATCAGTTGTTACAGCGCTCGCAAACTTCTCGGAATTGCAACTGCCTTAACCTTATCCTTCCCCGGAAATTTGATCATGTACCGCAATGAGAGGTGCAAATGCCGTGCATGCGTCGAATACGTTTTCTCGGGGCACGGGATATTCGAGGATTACGTTAACGCCTTCCGTAATTTTAATTATGCCATTCTTTTAGCGCGGAGCTCTTAGGCGCCCGTTTCCGAGTTGAGCGGCGTCCGCGTAACCGCGCGTTGCAGTATGAGACGTTGCGCGTTAAATTTAGCGGGAAAAACGCCACGAGTTCGTGTCAAGTCACCGATGAAGAAATTCGGCGGGAGGAGAAGAAAGGAAAATGGGAGGAGAGAAGGGGGAAAGGATGAGGGGGAAGATGAGGAGGAGGGGAGGAGGAGGAAGAGGAGCGGACGAGGGGAAGGTACGGAAAAGGAGGAGGGGGCCTAACCTCCGCTCCTCTTCTTCAAGAGCTGTGCTCTAGTTTCGCATTACAGAGATTTGTAAACGTCTTTCCTTTCTTTTCAACGATTTCTCACGGACTAGAGCCCCGGTCAACCCTGAACGACCCTTGTACTCCGTTCGACCTTACGCGGCACAGCAACGGACGCTACCAGCCACCGAAGCCAAACCGTGGCTCCAAGGCTGTCACGTGATCTTCCGGTTGGGCGGAGGAGCGACACGTGGAGTGTCAGATTGCCTAACGTGGCTCCTAGTTCCCGCTGCGGTCCATCCGAAGGTGAAACGGAGTCTAGTCGCTTCTTGGGTACACTCTTCTAATATCGGTGCTGCGTAAGAAGGCTCTATCGTTTTCATTTCTTCTTTAGCGCCACATTCAGGGAAGAGAGAACGGAGGCATAATACCGAAACTTCGAATGCAGGAGTCGTTATGCACTCATTTTCGGGAATGGCGATTTCAGAGACAGCGACACGAGAGCGTACCACGTCAAGCAACTTTATCTGCAAGAGTGCTCGCGAAAGGAAGGCCCTCGCACTCGTGCCTCTTACAATGGTTTACAAAATCTCAACGCTGCGTCCACTGATTGCTTGAGTGTCTTTTCCACACGGGGCCGATATTTGGCTAAAGAAAAGAAAAAAATCACGATAACGAGGGGCTTGCCCTTGTTAAGAGCGAATCCAATAATAGCGACACACTCTTTCTTCTGATCAATCTCAGAAAAAGGTGCGTCCGCGATGTTAGGTTGCATTTTTATTAGGAAGAAAATGCCACACGTGATTGGAATATTTATTGGTTTGGGACGCTTAGGCGGCATAAGCCTAGTTTTCGCCATAAAAAGACAAATCCAAACGACACTTTAGTCCCTCTTCAATTAGAGGAACTCAATTCGTAATTATATTTGGAGCAATATTGTGTCTGTTTTTATTAATTTTCCGTGCGACTGCGGACGCGGGGTGAATGGGTTGAACGGCCCACGGAGGGATCCCACCGAAATCTGGGTGTCCAAAGAAGTAATTCATCTCTCCACAGTATTATGAGTACTCTACGATTTCTCCGCGAGAGAGCTAATCTAGTGTCTGCAAAAGAAATTGAACCCATTGTGAATAAATAAAACAGCCCCGCGTAGTACGAAAAATATTACTTCTCACGTGGAGGTGGTGCAAGCCAAACGAACACATCACCCCGGAAGGGAGCTTTGCCACATTAAGACACCTACTGAGGGAAAGCCGAACCACATGGGACATTTTTCACGCGCTTCGTCCGCGTCAGCGTCACCTCGCGTCGGCTCGTGTCGGATCGCGTCGGCGCGCGTCGCTCCGTGCCGATATCTAAGCCGGCCAGGTCTCAGCGTTGGCACGCGCGTCGCATCTCTGTGGGTGACCTCCAGCGACGCGCGCCGACGCTGAAGCGGCCAAAGCGTCAGAATAAAAGTCAAATTAGTTGGGGCTTCGTGCACAAGGCCCGCTGGACAAAACAAGGAACAACGAAAAGGGCACTTCGTATGGCGTTGCCCAATTGCACTCAACAATATATAAAAATAAGGCATTCATAATAATGCGAACTGCGCAAAAGCTCAATTTATATAAAAAAGTGCAGTTATACTGTGATTTATTGATCAAACCATTATATGTAGACGCGTTCTACGAGGAACTTAGTGGACGCTAAAAGCCCATAGACGCAGATGCGTTTGAGCGCGGTGCGTTCCGTAGCAGCAAGAAGCTGCAGAACATTGCGGAGAACGTTCGCGCCAAGCTTGCATACACACAGTTGCGTAGACACGTAGTCGTACGCAGTCAAAAGCCAATAAGAACACACAATCGTCGTTTGCGGCTCACCAATAGGAAGCAAAATTCACAGCAACAAGGCTGCGCCCGGAGAGACAGCGTCGACGCGGCTGATCATTTGCGGCGATCGCGCCGGCATCCGCGACCTATCTTTAGCATGAACCATCGCGGCCTCTAAATAACTATCTCCCGCAGTAGCTCCCCGCTTCCCCGAAGGACAAAAGCGGGATCCATCTCCGAACGGGAAACCGGACGCCCGTTGCTGACGGGAGGGGGCAAGCACGCGACTCTCCCTTTTCTTTCTCCGCTTCCGACTGGTATCCGCAACGTTCGGAAACCGACGCCGCTCTGAGTGTTTAGCGAGGATGTACTTTCTTGCCTCGCCGCTGCGGGGCGAGGACACCTTTCCGCACTCAAACGCGTTCAAACGCGAATAGGTGCACGGGTCTTCACTCCAGTCTCAGCCTTTCAGGCACGCGACACCGTGTCTGGCGTATCCCGGTCCTCATTTTTTTATATTTTTATTTTCTGAATTGTGTTTTGGAGGTTTTTGCGGGGTTTCTTAAAGTGCCCAGGGCCGTCTTGCTAGAGACAGCGTCTCAGCTGAGACTGGGTGAAAGAAAGCACTGCCAAAGCCAGCGCGCGAACTGAGCGGGACTCAAACCGCGTCTCTAGACGCTCGCGCGCCCCGGCCTTGGCAGTGCGAGACGCTGTTCTAGCAAGCCGGCCCAGGAGCCCTCTGTCGTGCTCCATCTGTTTTCTTTCTTTTGGAGCGCAGCTCTTGGGCGCCCGTTTCCGTGCTTCGCGGCGCCGGCGTAACTGCGATAACTGTAGCGGGAGAAATGATGTCACGTGACCTCAACACCAATTCAATTCCCCGCTATATCTAGCGGACAATTTCAGTTTCTCCGCGAGATTTAACGCGAAAATTCCACGCTAAATTTAGCGGGGAATCGAATTGGTATTGAGGTCACGTGACGTCAATTTTCCCGCTAAATCTAGCAAAGAAACTGAATTTGTTTATAGCTGACGTGACACCAAGTCATGGACGTCACTTTCCCCGCTAAATATAGCGGGGAAACTGAATTAGTGTAGAGGCCACGTGGCGTCAATTTTTCAGCTAAATTTAGCGGGAAACTGAATTGGTGTTGAGGCCACGCGGCGTCAATTTTTCAGCTAAATTTAGCGAGGAAACTGCGAGGAGGTATAAGTATGGAGGAGGAGCAGGGGAGGGTACGGAGAAGGAGGAGGGGCATATCCTCCCCTCCTCCTCAAGAGCCGCGCTCTAATTTCGCGTTACAGAGATTTGTAAGCGTCTTTCACCTTTTCTTTCACGCTTACCTTGCGTGACCGGCAGAGCTCGGGACGCAGGTCTTTGGCAACCAGCCAACTTCCTTCGACCCTGGCCACTGTCAACGCTCTGAACGGCCACCGTGGCACGCTTCACTTATCAAGGCTAAATCCAAGTTAACCTCGGTAAGAGCGCAATTCTGCATTAAACAAAAAAATCGACAACGAACGATGTACAAGGTGTTTAAAAAAAGGGCAGGTCTTTTTTTTTTAATATTTTTACCGTAAAAATAAAGTACGCATCGTCGAACGCTCATTCTTCGCTGAAATGTAGCGCAAGAGGTCCGAACCAGGTGCTAAAGTTTCAGAACTAACCGTTATTTCATTCAAAAGTCCGTAAGTAATTTTCTGAGATTTTTCATCGGAAAATGGCGGCCGACGGAGTTTTGGATTACGTGGAGCTGAATGGCGCCAGTTACCTAAG